TTTGTTCAAGGTGATTTTACAGGGATTTTCCAACCTACCCGCACCTGGGGCTTCTACCTAGGTAAAAGTCCCTAACAAAAGAGGTTACTAAGGGAGGTAAATTGAGAGTGGTCATGGTCTTCTTTGAAATTCCTTTCCTGGCCTTTTGTTTCTGCTGGAGTTTTTCTGGATCTGTTGCTGGCACCAGGTGAGGGTCTTATCAGGCCTGAGTTCCTGTTTTCTGCAAGGTTGGTTTTCCCAACTTCAGGGCTATTACTTCCCAGGAAATTTACTGCCATTGCCTTGGGAGTGGGCCTTCCCTATCTGCCTGCCTGTCTACATCAGAATGATTTCACCAATGTGTGCGATCTCAGTATATAAAACTGATAGTTAAAAAAGAAAAAAAATGTTTGTTTTTTATAACAATGATAAAAAAAGCTAAGTTTACTTTGAAGGGAAAGGGAAAGGAAATAAGCTAAGGGTGGGTGTGGGAATGATAAAAATAGTGGGGAGAGGAACTGGATAGATTTATAGGATGAAAGATACAACTAAGACACCGAGTAGTGAGGAGATCCAGCACTCACTCACCATCTTGCCAAAGTGCAGGGGCAAATCAAACCTGGGCATCCCCTGGCTGATGAGTTGGCTCTACACACCCATTGCTTTCTTTTTCCCCTGAAGACTTTACCCTCCACTCTGTCCTGTGAGCTTACATTACTGAAGAGCATTGTTGATGGGCCCAAAGTGGGCCTGGTTTGTGAAAGAGGAAAAGAAGGGAAAAAAAAAAGCTGTTTCTAAACTGACCACAGAAGCTCTCCTTCATGTTGCCCTGTAAGTTCTCACAGACCAGACCTAGGAAATCCGCCGGGTCACCAAAGGGACTTTGTGCTTTATAAAAAGCTCTGAATCTCTGAAGTTCCGTGGGAATGTCAGTGAAAAGCAATGCTAATGTCATGAACCCTTGGAAAAACTCTCCCAGAGCAGGGCTGTGGATTTGGGAAGACTGATAATGCAAATACACAGAGTTGTCCGCACAAGACAGCTCCCAGTCACCAGCTTCATCGGGGCCAGGGTCAAGTAGGTGTGAAGAGGAAGAAGGAGGATTTTTCCACACACTCATTTGCTAACAGGAAAACACATGCTCTGGAGTTTAGGAATAGGTTCCCAAGGAAGGCAACAGTGGTGGGAGGGATCAAAAATTCATCCATTATTCTGGATTGTTCAGAATACAAGACTGGAGGCACCCAGCCCCCTGACCCTCCCTCTGGAGCTTACATTTCCAGGTTGGGGAGAATCAGGCATTGGAGCTTTCCCTCTAGTTTGAGACTGTGAAGGGAGCAATTCTTGAGTCTGGGTGAGGTTACTTGGAGACATACAGTTAATAGCACTTGGTAAAGCTGGTAAGATCGTTCTCGACCTCATCCCAAGAGGTGGAGGAGAAAGAAAGTCAAGAGACTAATTCCTCTTCATGGAAATAATATTGAACAAAGTGGTCACCCTGGGTTATCTAAGGTCCAGATGCTGAGATTAGCAAAAAACAAAAGAATAATTGGACAGTATTTTTGCCTCCAGGTTGAGACACTTATAGGGTCATCTCGCTAAAATGAAATGCCAGCTGGATGTATTGGAAATTCTCTTCTAATTAGATCATTCTAGATGATTCCAAGAATGATGGATCTGTAAAGATGGGGCGTTTTGGAGAGGAAGAAGAAATTTCCCCCAAATCCCTCTGGGTTTTTCTCATGGCGGTTAAGCTAAGATATAGATCACACAGATTAGTAGGAGAAAAGATTAAGTTACAAATATTTCTGCATGGATAAAGATGTGGAATGGGGGTAAATGTACAAAAGCTAAGGAAAGGGGGGAGGATAAGTACTTCATATAGAGAAAGGGGGGCACACTTGGGGAAGAGGGGGGTAACTCTAAACCAGCTGCTCTGTCCTTATTTGCTCTACCTTATAGTTAAGATTGTTTTTTGTTTGTTTGTTTTTGGTTTTTTGCATTTTTTGGATCACACCCAGCGACGCACAAAGGTTACTCCTGGTTCATGAATTCAGGAATTACTCCTGGTGGTGCTTGGGGGACCATATGGGATGGTGAGAAATGGACCCAGTTCGACTGTGGGCAAGGCAAATGCCCTACGTGCTGTGCTATTGCTCCAGCCCTAAGGTTTTTTCATCACTGTCACTGTCCTCCCATTGTTCATCGATTTGCTGGAGCAGGCCCAGTAACATTGTGAGACTTGTTGTTACTATGTTTGGCATATCGAATATGTCACGGGGAGCTTACCAGGTTTTGCCCTGCATGTGAGATACTCTCAGTAGCTTGCCAGGCTCTCCAAGGGGCGGAGGAATCAAACTCAGGTCTACCGGGTCATCCACGTGCAAGGCAAATGCCCTACCCACTGTGCCATCGCTCCAGCCCAAGGTTTTTTAATAAAAAGGTTATTTCTGAAAAAAAAAAAATCCCAGTTTTGGGTAACACTCTCAGTTTTTATTCTTTTAGGTGATGGAGCGATGAAAGTTTCTTGTGAGTCTGTAGCACTTGAGTTGAACTCAGCTCAAAATAATTCACATGCCAAAGTGCTGCATCTTGGGGAACCCTGTGATGAACATCTGGGTGGAAGAGAGCAACTTTCCTAGGGTAGTGAGAATTAAGAATTTCTAGATATAGGAAATTAAAAATATGATTTTAATTAATTTATGGTACTAATTCATCAATATCCACAGAGTTCTTCCTCAGGCCACTGTTTTTGCCTATGCCCACACTCCCAGGAGCTGATCTCTTCCACTAAAAAAAACAAAACTCTTGGGGGTGGAGCAGAGTAGCATAGGATGTAAGAACCTTAGTACCAACAAACTTGGCATTTAGGAAGTTCTGCTGTCGAGGACCCTGACACATCCCTTCTAAACCATGAAGGTGACTTACAGTGGGAAGGAGACAGTGCTAAGACAAAGGTCCATTTTCAGAAAAGCTGTGGTTCAAGTCTCATTCCCTTGATGCCAGGCCTAAGTTTGTCAGATTAGTGAAGATGTGGCTGCCAGTTGAGTAAATGAAAACGTGCCCTCTGTGACTAGTCAAACTCCTGCTAGAATATGAAGGGAAGCTACAGAAATGGTCTTCTGAGGACCAAAGAGGAATTAAGTCAACTTAAAGGGAGACATTTTTCTGCCAAACTAATTTTAAAAGATAAATCTTTTCAAGACTGAAAACATATACAACTATTCTATTTTATTTTAAATAAAGCTGCATTCAAAATGGAAAAAAAAAAGGCTTAAAGGCTGCTGAATAAAGTTTTTCATGCAATGAGTGACACAAATAGAATCTTTTAAATGCCCCTATATCTTTTAGTTACTGGAATGAGAATAGATTATCTCCAGAACCTGATTTTCCTCATGATATTAATATGGTGTGTCTCTCTGATTTAAAAAAGAAGAAAGCTCTAGAAAATTTCAGGAAATGAGAATAAAATGGATAAGCATAATTCTTAACAGCACATCTGTCGGTCAAACGTACTTGCTGTAAATATATTGTACTATGTATATGTACCCTCTTCTTCATTGCATCATTATTTACAATAACCAAGATCTGGAAACAACCCAGTACCCATCACTAATGAGTGGATAAAGATGTGAACTACATACAAATTGGAATACTATTCCATTGGACCTAACCATTATTATGCTTAGCCAACTTAGTCAAAGGAAGGCAAACACCCAAAAATGAGTGAAATGTGATCTCTAATGGGATTCATAGAGAAACCAATCAAGTAACTACATAAAATTAAAATAGATTCTAAGATTAAATTAGTGGCTATCTGAAAGGAAGGTGAAGTAAACGTGGGTAGATTAGGTAAAGTGGCCCTCTGAAGGATGAAGAATGAAACCGGACTTTGTTAATGAATTTCATATAGAATATAGGAGCCAGAGCTATAGTACAGCAGGTGTGACATTTGTCTTGCATGCGGCCAACCAAGGTTTGATCCTTGGCATCCCATATGGTCCTCTGAGCACCACCTGAAGTAATTTCTCAGTGGAGAACAAGGAATAATCCCTGAGTATAGCTGAGTGTGATCCAAAAAAAAAAAAAGAATATACAGACATCAGTGTATGATTTGTAATTATACATGCTGGAAATGTACCTTCTATAGTGCAAAGGTCAATAAAAATCATAAAATATAAAAATGAAACAAGTAAAACTGTATGGAAAGAGGTTGTTTGAACAGATTTGTAACCATTTATCTGTCTTCAACAATGCATTTTGTTTAAGGGAAAAGCCCAGCATCTGCATTAGCAATGTGAATATATTTAATGCATTGTCATTTCTCTCTCATTAATTTAAGATCCCTCCACACTGAGGTTTTTGCCTGTTTTTCCTAATGTTGCCATCTACCACCACCTTCTTTTTTACATCAGTCAGCTCTGCTTCCTAGTGACCATTGTAGTCCAAGCTTACTGAGGAAAGAATTCTGGAAGCATTCTCAGGGAAAAGCACCCTCTTTGGAGTACTTCATTGGTTACTTTTATCAGTTATCCATGATGGACCTGGGTTGAACCCATATCTCAGTTATTGTAAATGATCCAGCAAAAAACGTTTTGGGTTAGGCATGACTTTTTGTGGCAATGTTTTCATGTCCTTAAAATTTAAAAAAGTAAAGGACTGCTGGATTATCTGGTAGCTCAGTTTTTAGCTTCTTAAAGAAGGTTTTCCAGTTTATGTTCCTACCTACATTGCTTGATCTCTCCTTTTTCTCCATACCCTCAAAAATACTTGTCATTGTTCATTTTTAGCTTTTATTTTTATTTTCATAAGGTTGTACACGCTGAAAATTTATTAAGACAATAGAGGACTAGCCCAAAGCGTTGTTGATTCCTGAGCGGGCAACTCGCAAGGTACTAAAGACTTACAACATTGTGGGAACAATGTACGCAAATATTTACCAGCAGACACAGCCAACATATACAACAGGATAATAACCACTCCAAGCAAGATTTTAATCTTGTTTTTGTTCTCTTAATAGTGGTCTGGTGAAACATGAGACCTCAAAAAATTGAGTTAAAACTCAATACTATTCTTCTCCACTGAAATCTTTAGTAAAAGGCAAAAGATTTATATGATCTGAAGAGAAACCAGAGTTGTCATTGTTCATTTTAATGTAAATCATTCTTAAAGGGATTGTCTCCTTTAAGAATGGTTAAGTTTGGGACTGGAGTTATAGTACAGTGGGTAAGGCATTTGCTTTGCATGCAGCCACCCCAGGTTCCATCCCCAGCATCCCATATGGTCCTCCAGGAACCGCCAGGAGTAATTCCTGAGTGCAGGGCCAGGAGTAATTCCTGTGCATTGTTGGGTGTGACCCAAAAAGCAAAAATATTAAAAAAAGAAAAGAAAAGAAAGAAGGAAGGAAGGAAGGAAGGAAGGAAGGAAGGAAGGAAAGAAAGGAGGAAGGAAGAAAGGAAGGAAGGAAGGAAGGAAGGAAGGAAGGAAGGAAGGAAGAAAGAAAGAAAGAAAGAAAGAAAGAAAGAACAGTTAAGTTTTAACTTGCATTTCCCTAATAATCAGTGATGAACACATTTCATGTGCCTGTTAGTCATCTTTATGTTTCCTTTGAAGAAGTTTTTATTTCAATCTTCTGCTCATTTTCAACTGAGTTGTTCTATTTTAATTTTTTGTTGTGCCTGGGGAATATAAAGTAACAAAATAGGAGACTCACACCCAAGAATAGCCGAGATAAGTGTCAGGAGGTTCACTCTGTGGCTTGGATGCCAGCTGCACATGATAGGGGAAAAGGCAGCTCAGATAGAGAAGGGAGCACCAAGTAAGGAGTGCTGGGAGGGTCCTCCCAGGATGAGAGATGCATGCGGAAATCAGACTATAGACTGAACATGATTGCCACTCAATGACTCTTTTCCAAACCACAGCACCCAAAAGGAGAGAGAAAACAAAAGGGAATGCCCTGCCACAGCGGTGGGGTGGGATGGGGGGATGAGGGGGTGGGAGGGATACTGGGAGCACTGGAGGTAGAGAATGGGCACTGGTGGAGGGATGGATATTCAATCATTGTATAACTGAAACCTAAGCACAAAAAATTGTATGTCTACAACTGTACCTCATGGTGTTTCACTAATAAAAATAATTTAAAAAGTAAATAAATAAAGATGAAATGATCAAAAAAATTTTTTTTGTTGTGAACTTGTTTGATTTCTTCATGTACAGTGGATGTTAACCACTTTTCAATTTTAGTTAGTCCCATTTGCTTAAATTTATTTCTATTTCCCTTGTGGTTGTTTTGACATCTCTAACACTAATGTCATATATTGTTTTATTTTACATTATATGAATGCTATGGTTTGGGGCCTTTACAACCAGATAGTTGATCCATTTTGAATTTTTGTATATAGAATAATGGAGGAGTCCAGCTTATCCATATACTTTAATACTTGGTTCTGGGAAGACAGCACCTGAATAGAGATTCCAGACTCACCTTTTCAACACTTTTCAAAATGGCACAGTTACAGAAGTATAATTCCTGAACAAGGATGAAATGGAAGGAGAGCAGAGACTTCAGGGAGAAATGATGAGACTCAAGAGAGGGTAAGACGGGCTGGAGAGATAGCACAGTGGGTAGGGCATTTGCCTTGCACATGGCCAACCCGGGTTCAATTCCCAGCATCCCATATGGTCCCCCGAGCACCACCAGGAGTAATTCCTGAGTACAGAGCCAGGAGTAACCCCTTAGCATCTCCGGGTATGACCCAAAAAGCAAAAAAAAAAAAAAAAAAAAAAGAGAGAGAGAGAGAGAGAGAGAGAGAGAGCAAGAAAGGCTCTAAGCGAACCTGGTGTCTGAATCGTGAGTTTCGAAAGACAGTTCTTTAACTCCACACAGATAAGTTGCCATATACTTTTGAAGCTGGTGGGCCCCCACAGGTGACTTATGTGAGACAGAGAGAAGAGAGAGATGGTCACTTTCTCATGAGTTATATCTGCCACCCCAGATTAAGGAGGCTAGTACGATAAAGTCTGCAATGAACCCCTGCACTACGTGGGCCAGAGCCCTGCTGGCCTCACTAGGTAGCTGTTAAACCACACCTGATGTCAAATAGGTATGCTTGACAGAGGAGTTAATCCTCACCACCTGATATCTCTGGGAGCCTTGGACTCGGGCTCGTTTAAGGAATTGCATTTTGCAGAAAAAGGAAAGCCAGTCCTAGGCCTTACCCAGGTCTTCAGGGTCCTTGCCTTTCTCTTAGAAAAAAATTTCAGGAGAAGATGAGCAGTGAAGCAACAACAGACTTTATTTAGAGACTTTGAAGAAGGGGGAAGAGAGGGAGAGAGGGAAGGAGAGAGGGAGGGCGGAAGGGAAGGGGGAGAGAGAGGGAGAGGGAGAGAGGGAGGGAGAGAGGGAGGGAGGAAGGGAGGGGGGAGAGAGAGGGAGAGAGAGAGAGAGAGAGAGAGAGAGAGAGAGAGAGAGAGAGAGAGAGAGAATTCTCCTCTGGGACCAAACATAAAACCTCAATACCATCGTAACCTGATATTCCAACATGCTCAGTTTTATTAACTGAAGAATGAGAAGAAAAGGTTGGCAGCGCAGAGAAGCAACTGGTTTCTGGCCTCTTGGAGAAATGTGGTCAGAGAAACCCAGTCTATCCCTTTCAGGCCTCTTCTGATCTCTAATCTTGCTTTCAGCCCAAACTTCCCCTCCTCTCTGATTCCACTCCCTCCCCTGCCACTTTATTATTTTTGTAATCATTGCCTTTTTTTCTGCAATTCACTTCATTTTAAGTCTTTAGACATCAATAGCCTCTGGAACTCTGTGGTTTCTTGGAGGTATTGTACTGAGACAAAAGTCTGAAATACTTGCCCTGGTGTCAGTTTCAGTGAAAGTCCTCCTAACTCCATCAGGGCCTGCTTATCCTGTAATCCAGTCTGAATTTTATAAAACCGATACACAACTTTCACTGGTCCTGATTCCAAATAGGTCAGGCAGCTGATGTTCAGCTGATTAGAGGCTCCTACGGACTTTACAGATTCGGAGCCAATGGGGTGTCTTGTAACTTCAGAGCAAAGTCTTTCTGAACCAACAAAGGCTCCCAAAGAATGCTAGTCTTGGTGGAGCTTGAGGCAATTTAGAGATAATGAGCCTCTGTCAAAGGGAGAGGAAGACATCATTTACATGGCAAACCCCCTCTGCTGAGACATTTTTGGATACAGTGGAGCTTTCAGTCTTTCTATAAAAAGGAACTTGAATGAATTGCATTTCCAGGGGGAAAAGTGAAGCCCGGGATTTTATGGCAAAGCAGGATTTGTTTAGCAATAACCTTTTGGCCAGTTCAACATGGGAGTAAACTAGTGAAATCTTGCGTCATGATGCATCATGATGCCAGTTGTGACAGAAAACATCAAACGTCATCCTCTCAAGATTGCGTGTGTGCGCGCACACGTGTGTGCGCACAGTGCAGTGAATTCTCACTCTCTTCAGTAATTATTTCTGGACATATTATTTAGGCAAGATGATTCATAGTCTAGAAAACAAAAGGCATGTCATACCCCCTCCAGCTAAGTGGAATAGGGGTGCTTCTCAAATGCCCCAAGAGTTCATGACTTAGGGTGGTTCCAAGTTGCCCTCGGTGTGGACCATGTCATGTCCCCTGGTATCCCTGCTCCTAGCCATTTCTGGTGGCCTTATGCCTGGAGTTCAATCATAGAAGAGCCCTCCACCATCCCTTTCTAGTTGCTGACCATGTGTGGAGATCCCAGCAAATGATCTGTGGAGCCACAGGATGGCAGGAGCCTGCCTTCTGCATGACTACAGGGAGCAGAGGACCCTGGATGCCTAGTCCACTAGTCCACTGCCACCCACCGCCATGGACTGTGGCTTAAGCGAGATAAAAAATCTGATTGCTTTAGGCCACTTCACTGTGGAAGCCCTGTGCTTTGGATGTTAGGATGTTAGGAACAGTGACAAGAGCAAGGTCAGAGAGATGATGGGTTTGACGGGCTGTGTGTTTCTTGGAGGTTCAGCATCCACCTAGGCCAGTGGGGAAGAAACTGTTCACTAGGCCTGCCTGGAGGGTATCTCCATTTTTAATACCTGTGACTTTTCCCCTATCATCAAATCAATTCTTAGAATGAAGAAAATCTGATCCTTCAGTTGGCAAATCTGCATTCTTTAGGATCACGATATTGTCAAAACTTTGGTAACATTGCCCCGTCTCTATCCTCTGACCCCAGACGATACTCCTCACACCTTATTGGAAAAGCTCTCTAGGGTTAGAATTAGCCAAAGACCTAACATTTGAGGGGTGTCACAACCTTTCCATGGAAGAAGTCACCTCCTTAACATTGGAGGTGATAGAATTGGGCCCAGAAAGAAGCTTCAGAACATGTTTGTAGAGATGAGGGCTCCATTGCCTGGCAGGACAGGACTCATCCATACAGACTGTGCTGTGGGAATGTTCTCTGTGTCCTGTCACCTTCCTCTTCATCATACTAAAAACACCTCTCAATGCCACTTGTCAGCCATTTTTCTGTACATGTGATGCATGTTCCACAGTAATGCATGCTCCCCCTCCCCCTCCGACAAAAGCATGATTTTCCTGAACAACTGCTAAAGTAAAGTTTTATTTTACCCTAGACCTGCTCAACACAGACCTCTACATTGTCTACACTGTCTTTTCTATGTTTGCTCTTCAGCCTATGCCTGGGTAGCCAGTCCTCAAAAAATTTTTTTAATTAAAATTTCTTAATTTTATTTTGGTTACTTTTGCTAGTGTACAAAAAATACAGCATTTGTTTATGGGTTATTCAGCATTCTTCACAAACTTTCTTGTTAGTTCAAATATTTTAGGGGATTCCTTGAAATTTTATATAGAAAAGCATGCAATAACAAATAAAATGTGATTATATTCTTTTTTTTAATATTTGATTACATTTAATATTCAAACACCAAGCCCACCACCATTATACCTTCCCACCAACAAATTTGGGATGTTTCCATCCCAAGCCCCAACCCCTGTTCCAAAGCACAACCGAAATAATACATTTTGTATTCTCTGTTATGAAAAACCAGCAAAAATTCTACAAAAGTATCCATAGAGGAAACAGTGTGAAGATTGTTCTATTTTGACAGAAGCCATTA